CACTAACACCTCCTTATCCCTACTGGAAATACCTCGCCTACTACATCCCAAGACCTTAATAGCCTTTTTCACGGCCATGTCACAATGGTGGCTCATAGTCATCCTATAATCAACCAAGACTCCGAGGGCCTTCTCCTCCTCCGTTACTTCCAACTGATGTGTCCCCAGCTTATAACTAAAATTCTTGTTATTAATCCCTATATGCATAACCTTACACTTCTCACTATTAAATTTCATCCTATTGCTATCACTCCAATTTACAAGGTCATCTAGATCTTCCTGTATGATATTCCAATCCTTTTCTGAATTGGCAATACCTCCCAACTTTGTGTCATCTGCAAATTTTATCAGGACACTTCCACTTTTGGTGCCAAGGTCAGCGATAAAAAGATTAAATAAAATTGGCCCCAAAACAGATCCCTGAGGAACTCCCTTAGTAACTTTCCTCCAACCTGACAGTTCACCTTTCAATATGACCCGCTGCAGTCTCCCCTTTAACCAGTTGCTTATCCACCTCTCAACTTTCATATTAATCCCTATCTTTTCCAATTTAACCAATAATTCCCCATGTGGTACTGTATCAAATGCCTTACTAAAGTCGAGGTAGATTAGATCCACTGCATTTCCTTTATCTAAAAAATCTGTTACTTTCTCAAAAAAGGAGATCAGGTTGGTTTGGTACGATCTACCTTTTGTAAAACCATGTTGCGTACTCACGTCACTCTGTAGATCATAGGCCTTTCTAGCATGGATGACATCATTCTGGTCCGGTAGACATGTCCATTGGTGCAGAGGATGTCTATAATCAACATCACTGACTTGCTCCTGACACTTCTTGGCCAGCACAATTCCCAGCATGTCCACTGGGCTACTATATTTGGTCTTCCATTTCTCAAAATCTTTCTTGTACTCTCTGTCACTCTGGATCTTGGCCACATGCATAGACCATGTCATCTTGGGATCATCCTGGATGTTGCGGGCTCCCACATGGTGGCCAAGCTGTTTGCGATACCCTTCTTTGTATCTGTACTGTAGGCCAAAAAAATAAAATACAACATGTTTGAGGTCTCTTGTTAAGAAAATATCCCAGAACAATTCTTTAGAGTTTTCATGTTTAGAGTTTGGAGGCTTTTATGGGAATGTGTACCACTTCATAAAGTATCATTTCTGGGGGCTTTTACTCTCATACAACACCAGGAACTTAGGAAAAGGCTTAGTCGTAAGAGTCCCTTACATAAGTAATATTGTGACTGACTATACCAGAATCAAGCACATCACTTGCCTGGAACCCAGTGACTTGACAGGCTCTGACATTCCTGTGAGTGTGAATAATGATTATTTGTGATCATGGTCATGTCAAAAGTCTAATTTAGCCTAAAATCCAGATCAAAATGGTTAATGCCGTTGTATGAAGTTTACTCATTAACAAGGCCAAACACATGTATTTTCAAATAACAATTTCAAATTTATGAATATGTTACCAGGAAAAAATGTGATAGATAGTGCTCAAAGATAATACCTTAACAGAAAGATTAAATCATATAAGAATGTTGATTAGCAATTATGCAATAAGAGACATTAGTCAGAATTAAAACTGGACAAGATGACTTCATTTATCAAACTCTTCAGAACATCAAACAGAGATCCTCAAATAGAGAACAGAAACAGAATGTAATGTCAAAACATAAATAAGGGCAGGCCTATGGGAACTATAGGGAAGATTTTATTCCAGATTCAAAAAGAGTTTATTAATTTATTGTCCAAAAAGAGTTCTGCATGATACATGATTGTGATGATGGTGTAGGACCTTAACTGCTCACACAATGGTAAGATCTATTAATGTCTGAGGAGAGAGGTCCAAGGTTACTTACCTCACTTGCAATATCTCGGGAGGCTTTAGCTGCCCTTATTGGAATGGCATCTACTCGTAGGTCATAACCTTTTTTCTTGTCCTCTTCCATTGCAAGTCGGTACAGTTTCTAAAATCATAACAAATATTTGTTGCATGTCAGAACTAAAGCATTTCCTTTCCATCTAAATTTTAATTTTAATTTTAAGCAAGGCACCACTTACATCACTGTAATTCAATTTGTTCTGCTGCGCCAATAAAATAGCAGGGGTATCTGGCATAATGTGGATACTAGTTTTATCTTTGTTCCAAGCTTCTGTATAAGAACGCTGAAAAGCAAATGACAAATATAATAAGGCTCAAAATAATGAAGGCCTCAGTCATTAATATGGTAAGATATAATTCTGACTGAATAAGCATGATGAAGATCAGCAATTCTAAGAGTTTCATATAGTCAAGAACAACTGTAACTAAAACTTAAAGAGAAGTTCTCTTCTTTCATTCTCCTTGAAAAACAAATATCAATACTTTAGCAACCAGTAAAACTACCTCATTTTAATTCTAGTTGCAAATAAATAGAAAACTCACAGGGTTCATAATTCCAGTATTGTGCTTTGCCAGAACCATTGGCATAGAATCAAGCAGGCTACTAAATTTGATAGTGTCTGGGTGTTGCCGATAGGTGTGGTCACTCAGGATGTGGGTTGCTCTCTTATTCTTCTCATCATCCAGAGAGCCACTTGGGACCCAGCCAATGCCTTTCAGCCACTGCAGATCTGATTTATACACAAGCTGAAATTATAGAGGAAGACAAGACAGTTCATTATTTTATTTAGACAACATGAACATTTTTTCTCCAAGTCCAAAGCAGCACTAATTAAAGAGATTCTCATTGTTTAATCAATATCCTATGATGACAGAGGGTTACCATGTTACAGTCCTCTGTCAATTCAACACAGATTCTGCCTACACTGTTACTCCACAAAAATCTTACTCTGTGTATGGCAAGGTCTGTGTCAGTCAGGGAGGAGATTAATCTCAAACTGTCATGGAGATAACCCAGACAGTCAAAATGCATTTTGACTGTCTGGGTTAATTAGACATTTTTTTTTCTACATGTAACAGATGAGAAGGACCTCAAGCACTGGAAATGTCACTTAAACACGCCAACTAATGAATACTTACAAACATGAAACACATTCTTTTACTCTCTCCCTTCTCTAGTGCACAAAACGAAATCAATATTTAGGATTAGGGTGAACAGATGTCCCATTTTTAAATGGATAGTCCCATATTTAAGCCCTCCTGCAAGTAAATTGATTTTTTTCTTAAAAATAAGAAAGTTGTCCCATATTTTCCTGTCTTCTCCCCATCAGTACTGGCAGGTCCTGCTGCTAGCCAGACCTCTCCTTGCGAGCCACCTGCCCACCAGTGATGGGGGAGGGAGGTGGAGGTAGAAGGGAGAGTCAAGAGGCCAACGATGACGGTAGGTGTGCAAGACTGGTGCCAGGGCAAAGCTGCTGCATGCCGGGCCAGCTGCTCCCCCTGCTGGTCTGTCAGCACAGCCCCTGCTCCATGCCAGTTCTCAGGAAGCAGGTCCCCACCCCACACCCCATTTCAGAATGGCACTGGCTGCATGTTGTGAGGGGCAGTGTCTGGTGATGCAGGCAGGTGACAGGTGGGGAACAGTTATATGTCACCTCTGCTGCCCATCCTTCAGCTCTTTACATGCTCCCCCTCTTGCTGTCTTCTCCCCACTGTGCCCCTTCCATACACTCCTGCCTTTTTGGCCCTCGATATACTCCCAGGAGGGGCACATCCTGCTTCCAGCACTGTGCAAAGAACCAGCCTCTGGTTGGAGTGCTCAGCTCACCAAACAACCTGGCAGGCATCTTCCTTCTCCCACCAGTCCGGGGAAGCCCAAGACCCTCCCGCCTGGGGCACTACCCAGGGGCAAATGAGCCCTTCATGTGTCCAAGCCCCACAGAGCACTGGCATCCGGGAATCTCTCTGCCCCTCAGCTAAGCTCAGGATTAGAGGCAGGAAGTGATTATCAGCCTGTTCGTGCCCCAAGCTAGCAGGCTACACAGCAGCCCCTATGGCAGAGACTTCTCGTCATCCTCCCCTGCTGGCTGGTGGGTTTGTTGAAATCCCTACAGCGAGGTTCCTTGTGTTCTGGTGCATCCTTACAGCTTAACCCCTTCCTGCCTGCACTGTAGCTGGGAGACTGGAAGCAGCTGGGTAATATCCGTGCCAGCATTAACTTGTGGGTATTAGCTGCCTTTTGACACTGTGTGGGCAGGAAGGAACAGGAGCTGTTCCAGCCACGGAATGGGATCATAAAGAGATGAATTCTGTAAAAACACAGGCCTGCTCGTTCCTTCCGCACCTCATCACGCCCTGTAATTGGCAGGAGCTCCTGTGCCTTCCCTCCCGCACAGTGTTTAAAGGATGCTGCTGGCTATATTCTGGTATGAACCCTGGCAGAAACCTGAGGGTGGGCATGTGACCCTATGTGAACTCCCACCCATGTGCTGTCTTGGAAAGACATGGCAACAATTGCCAGGAGAGATGGGCCTGTCCTGGGGGTGTAGCAATGGAGGGTGGAGAGTGTCAGGCAGGGAGGGTTGGGTCAGTCAGAGAAGTGTATGGGAGGGGACCACTCTACTCTGAGTGAACCCAAATGCCTTAAAAATAAGAAGGTAAATAAAAAGAATCCCACTACACAGTATTTCTTTTTTGCAGGGGCTCAGTCTACTTGATGTTAAACTGAATGTTGGCATTTGCATAGTTCTGATTAATTACAGTTGAACTTGCTTCGATATGAGTAATTTTATCAGATGTTCCGTATTCAGCATAAGGAAATATTTAGAATGCAAAATAAAGGCTACTTTCTGCAAACTGTGAAATGTTTACCATGTGGAATGGTTCACATTCTGAAAATATACATCCATCCCGTATGCCACAACAAATGCCCTTGCAGGATAAAATAATTCAGAAATAGAGGCTTTTCATATAAATTATGACATACGAACTTACATCACTCTGAAGATCGTATGTTTTCCTGGCATGTACAACATCGTTCTGGTCTGGAAGACACGTCCACTTGTGCAGAGGATGTCTATAATCAATGTCACTGACTTGTTCCTGACACTTCTTGGCCAGCACGATTCCCAGCATGTCCACTGGGGTATTATACTTGGTTTTCCATTTCTCAAAATCTTTCTTGTACTCACGGTCACTCTGGATCTTGGCCACATGCATAGACCACACCATCTTGGGATCATCCTGGATATTGCGTGCTCCCACATGGTGGCCAAGCTGCTTGCGATACCCTTCTTTGTATCTGTACTGTTGGAAAAAATAAAAAAATAATTGTTGCTCTTTCAGATTTGGAAAAATATTTGTTGGGTGAGTCCCAGGAGGCTACATGCGGGAGGAGCGCTCCAGCTCACGCCCGGGGCCCAAGTTGCCACGGGGGGGGAGGTGGGGTGTGACCCCAATCAGCAGGGCTTGACAAATCATGTAATCTACTTGCCACGGGTGAGTAGATTACAAGCCAGCACAGCCGGCACCACGCGATCTGCGCATGCGCAGCTCGCAGAACCGCACGGCTGGTGAGCAGGGCTCGCCGCCACTTGGCAAGCCCTGAACATGAAAATAAGAAAAGATTGCAATAGAACATGGGTAATAGCACCTATACACAGTGCTGGGCATATCAGAAATATAAAAATGCAGGAAAGTGTTACAGGTTTTGAGAAATGATGGCAAGGAAAATTAAGCACTTTCTATATTACATAGGGTGGTACTTGGAGAGATGTGCTGGAAGAAAATCAGATTCTCTGTCTATGTGAGGCACAGGTTGGCAGTTAGGGAGGTAGTGGGCAAAGGGTGGGGCGGAGCAGGGCACTGTGTGGGGCACAGGCTGGCAGTTTGGGAGATGGCACGTGAGGGGTGGGGAGGAGAGGGGTGCTGTCTATGTGGGGCACAGGCTGACAGTTATGGAGGTGGCAGGAAAGGTTGGGGAGGAGCAGGGCACTGTCTGTTTGGGGCACAAGCTGGAAGTTAGGGAGGTGGCAGGGGAGGGGTGGGGAGGAGTGGGGCGCTGTCTGTGTGGGGCACAGGCCGGCAGTTTGGGAGAAGGAGGGGGAGGGAAGGGTGGCAGCGTGCAAAAGAGCTGACCCCGCTCCTCCTTCCTCCTCTCTCTCCCCCACTTGTGTCTGGCCCGGCACCGGTTTTAACTGTCAGTGCCCTTTTCCATGCCAGCGTTCCTGCTATCCCCAGGTCCACCTGCCCCCTGGTATGCACACTGGCTGAGGCGCGCCTGCGCCATGAGGGTGGTCCTCCACGTGCCGCCTCTGCACAAGCGCCACAGGTTCAGAACAGCGGCGGCCTGGGAGCACATTGCTGCCAGCAGAGATAGTGCGGGGGAAGGCGGGAATGGGGCCCCTGTCACAGCCTCCCATAGTACCTTAAAACCTTCTCCTGGAGGAAAGGTTAGCCCATGCAAAGTTTGGTTGCAGTAGCTCTTATAGTGTCCAAATTATTAGAGCACAAACATACAAACATTCTCTTTTATATATTAGATACCAGTTTCAATTAACTGGATATGTTACTGGCAAAGGTCTTACTGACAGTACTGGAAGGTTATACTGCACCAAAAAGACTAATTTAATTAAAATATTGAGTAGAAATTATTATAAAGTAGGAAAAATTAGTTACAATCAAAAGTGAACAAGGTGACTTCATTTGTCACAACCCGCAAGCAATCAACAGATATCCTCAAATAGACCACAGATACTGGGAGTGGAACCTTACCACAGATAAAGCAAGCATAGACCTACAAGAACTGTAGAGATTTAACACCAGCTTCTCTCCTATTTATTACTTAGTAAATGTGTTCCTTGATACAGGATTGTGTTGATGGAGTTGGTTCTTAACAGTTAATTATGATGTTGAGACCTATTAAAGTCTGAGGAGAAAGGTCCAAGGTTACTTACTTCACTTGCAATATCTCGGGAGGCTTTAGCTGCCCTTATTGGAATGGCATCTACCCGTAGGTCATAACCTTTCTTCTTTTCCTCTTCCATTGCAAGTCGGTACAGTTTCTAAAATCATAACAAATATTTGTCATGTAAGAAATAAAGCAATTCCTTTTCATCTCAATTGTTTTACAGGCTGCCTTTTAAGTTTAAGCAAGGCACAACTTACATCACTGTAATTCAATTTGTTCTGCTGCGCCAGTAAAATATCAGGGGTATCTGGCATAACGTGGATACTAGTTTTATCTTTGTTCCAAGCTTCTGTATATGAGCGCTGAAAAGCAAATAACAAATATAAGATGTTTGTAATCATGAAGGCCTCAGCCATTAATATGATAAGATATAATTTTGACTGAATAAGCATGATCAAGGTCACCTGTCCTAAAAGTTTCACATGGTCAGGAACAACCATAACTAAAATTTAAACAAGAATAGAAGTTATATTGTTTGCACTGATCTGGAGACCCATTACAAATAACAAGGTTTTTACTCCTTAATGAATAAAGACCAGATACCAAGAATCTCACTTTTGTTGCATAGTATGTTGCTTCACAAGAGCACTTAGTGATTTTGGTGATCTTTTTGAATGACACACTACTCAAAAGGTGAAATCTTGGCTCTGCTGCAGTCAAAGGGAATCTTGCACTTGACTTAAATGGTCCAAAATTTTACCAAGAATGATTAATCTAGTTGCAGTCACAATAAATTAAGCATGAGCTACAGATCACCAAATGTAATTTTTCAATTATCTTTGGCAATGATCATTCATATTTAATTATTACATATTTCATAATTTCCTGATATATAATCAGTAAACTAGATTAAGTTTACTCATGTGGTAATTTATTACAGTGTCCAGTATCACACCAGAGAGATTGGAGGCGAGAACATGGATTCTACATTTTGTGAAGATAATGAAATGCAAATTACCAAAGATCTATTGAATCATGAATTTTGGAGGGGGTGGGTAACAATTCACCTGAAATATATTGGAATATCTTGAAATATATTGGAATATCTTTTTCAGTTATAACCAGACAGTTGCTTGCACAATATATGAAAAGTAAACAAACAGCCTACCTCTTTATATTACAAAATTATATTATAACAACATAAAGAACATGTAATAAGATACAACAAAATATTGATAAACTCCTTTTTCATGTGTGTGATTTTGTAAATATACAGCTATTAAACACACTTTTAAAATAGAGTTTAGCTATGGGCTAGAAATTTAAAATAACAAAACCAAACTACTCAGTTATGATGGAAATAAATTCCTGACTAATATTTCAATGTGATTTTTTTAGTCTCCTTGAAAAACAAATACCAATACGTTAGTATCCAGAAAGAAAAAGACACCATTTTAATTCTTTTTGCAAATAAATAGAAAACTCACAGGGTTCATAATTCCAGTATTGTGCTTTGCCAGAACCATTGGCATAGAATCAAGCAGGCTACTAAATTTGATAGTGCCTGGGTGTTGCCGATAGGTGTGGTCACTCAGGATGTGGGTTGCTCTCTTATTCTTCTCATCATCCAGAGAGCCACTTGGGGACCAGCCAATGCCTTTCATCCACTGCAGATCTGATTTATACACAAGCTGAAATTATAGATGAAGGCAAGACAGTTCATTTAGACAACTTAAACCATTTTTCTCCAAAGAAAAGCAGCACCAATTAAAAAAGAGTTTCCATGTTGAATCAATATCACATGACAACAGAGGTATTCACCTTGCAACAGTCTGACAGGACTTGTTCTGGACTGACAGACTCTGGACCCTGTTGGATTCTGTCTAATCTAGTTATTCCACAGGTGCCTATGTCCTTCTACTATTTTGATGGAACAATGGGAAAAACAGACAACACTAAATTAGGGCAACATCTGGAAATTCAAGCTAAAAGATTCTATGAGCTAAGATTGCAACAAGGAAACTATAGTATACATCAGAAATGCTGTATCTGTCATATAGCTGATGTCTGGAGACAAACTGCACTCATCTGATAAATTGGTTTCTAAAGTACATGAAGCAAGTTCCAAAGGGATTTGACAAAGATAATCGTGTAATTGAAGTCTCTGACAGATATGAAAAAAGTAACTGTGTGAAAACTAATATCAGAGGGGTAGCCTCGTTAGTCTGGATCTGCAAAAGCGACAAAGAGTTCTGTAGCACCTTATAGACTAACAGATGTATTGGAGCATAAGCTTTCGTGGGCAAAGACCCACTTCATCAGATGCATGTAGTGGAAATATCCAGAAGCAGGTATAAATATGCAGGCCAGAATCAGGCGAGAGATAATGAGGTTAATTCAATCAAGGAGGATGAAGCCCACTTCTAGCAGCTGATCTGGAGGTGTGAATACCAAGAGAGGAGAAGCCACTTTTGTAGTTAGCTAGCCATTCACAGTCTTTGTTAATCCTGAGCTGATGGTGTCAAACTTGCAGATGAACTGTAGCTCAGCAGTTTCTCTTTGAAGTCTGGTCTTGACGTTTTTTTGCTGCAGGATGACTACCTTTAGATCTGCTATTGTGTATCCAGGGAGACTGAAGTATTCTCCTACAGGTTTTTGTATATTGCCATTCCCAATATCTGATTTGTGTTCATTTATTCTTTTACATAGGGACTGTCCAGTTTGGCCGATGTATATAGCAAAGGGGCATTGTTGGCACATGATGGTGTATATTACATTGCTAGATGTGCAGGTGAATGAACCAGTGATGGTGTGGCTGATCTAGTTAGGTCCTCTGATGGTGTTGCTGGTGTAGCTATATGGGCAGAGTTGGCACTGAGGTTTGTTGCATGGATTGGTTCCTGAGTTAAAGTTACTATGGTGCGGTGTATAGTTGCTGGTGAAAATATGCTTCAGGTTGGCGGGTTGTCTGTGGGCGAGGACTGGCCTGCCTCCCAAGGCCTGTGAAAGTGAGGGATCATTGTCCAGGATGGGTTGTAGATCACTGATGATGCGTTGGAGAGGTTTTAGCTGAGGACTGTAGGTGATGGCCAGTGGTGTTCTGTTGGTTTCTTTCTTGGTCTTGTCCTGCAGCAGGAGGCTTCTGGATACACATCTGGCTCTGTTAATCTGTTTCCTTACTTCCTCGTGTGGGTATTGTGTTTCAAGAATGCTTGGTGAAGATCTAGTAGGTATTGGTATCTGTCTGAGGGGTTGGAGCAAATGCAGTTGTACCTCAGTGCTTGGCTGTAGACAATGGATCGTGTGGTATATCCAAGATGGAAGCTGGAGGCATGAAGGTAGGCATAGTTGCTGGCAAAAGTCTCTGAGTCAAGTGCACTACAGTGGAATATATATGTGTTGTCACCTAAGTGAGAATGGTGATTGATATGTGGTCACCTAAGATGATTGGTGGACATCCTGTGTCTCCATAAAAAAAACTTCTAGAGGAGGCATACAGCATGTTACCACTTATAAAATTCCTCTGTGGAAAATACACCCAAAAGTTTAGAAACACACCCAGAATTCTCCTTCTTCATAGAGACTTTTCCAGTGGTGAAGTAAAGAGTCCATTATCAGTAGATATGCTGAGGAAACCCGAGATGTGGGCAGTATTCAAGAAGAAGCAGACAAGGATGCCTGTGCATGCTGTATGTGCCAAAATGGCTTTTTGGGTATCTTGGTGTCAGAGGAATCATAATAATTAGTCACCTGATACAGAGATTTAGTCCTTGCTGTTCAATATATTCCAAAAACTGAATACATAGATAACATGTGGTTTGAAAGAGGCATCATTATGAGCACAACTAACAAGTGTCACTTCATATTGCATGAATAAATCTGTAACATCCTCCCCTCCTGAAGTCTGCAACATACTGCCTGCTATACACGAAGGAAGAGGCTGGAACTCTATATTGCCTCTATTGGATATTTGGGGAAATTCATGACCAATCTTAGCAAAAGAAAAGGGAACTTATACTTCAGAAATCTTGCCAGATTGAGACAAAGTCACAGACAACCTGCAAAGCAAGTTGTTAACAGACAGCAAGAGAGAAAAAGGACACCAACAGAACCCTGTACTGTTTGCACTTCAATGCAGCCATCAAAAAGTTCAAGTCTCTGAGGAGACTTCCACAAAGGAAGAACAGTTTTGAAGAGCATGTCAAACAAAGATTTGGATGCTTCTGCATATATTTAAACCAGATGTTGCAACATGGATGGAAAAATGAGGATGATCAACTACTCCCTGTGCTGTTCAAGGATCCAATGACATCTGAGTGTCTCCAAGACCTTAATTGTGCACATGCCATGATGCCAGTATGGTCACTGTATAATCAACAGTGTCAGTAATCAGAATGAACTTGGTGTACATGCCAAGGCAGTGAAACTTTCACATTCTCAACAGAGACCATGCAGATAAAAAAGAGGATAATAATGATGTTGAGTGGAAACATCTCCAGCACTACTACATTTCAATCACACTTGTAAAAATTATTGTTACATGTTGATTTACCCCCTAGATTGTTGTTGTGATTATTTGAAATTACAAAAAACCCAACTTTATCTTGAAGCACTGCAAATATTTAAAAATAGTTCATTTTCACATGTAGATGGTGCCACCGCCTCTATGATAATGGCACTACTCCACATTGTTCCTCTTAAAAGTACACAAAACAGGTTTTCAGATGATGCGTGATGTACATAGGCACAGAAGGGACACTTTAAGTAGACCAAATTGGTATTTGCCATTTGCCAAATATCACGTTGGAGGTCAGGGGAGACTGAAACTCAGATTTCCATCCATGAGAGGTGATGGCTTGAAGCTGGAAGCCTGAAATGGCTGCTTCCTTACTGGACCACGGAAGGGGAATATATATGCAATTGACCTGAAACTGTGACAACCCACCAATCTAGTATGAAGCAGTAAGGTTCTTGCAAGATAAAAAGGTTAATAAATGCAATCCATAAATATGTGTTTTGATATTGCAGCAAAAATAGATTTAATAGAACATCTCCGTTTTCACAAAGCTGGTAAAAAAAATGGGACTTACGTCACTCTGAAGATCGTATGTTTTCCTGGCATGTACAACGTCGCTTTGGTCTGGAAGACACGTCCACTTGTGCAGAGGATGTCTATAATCAATGTCACTGACTTGCTCCTGACACTTCTTGGCCAGCACGATTCCCAGCATGTCCACGGGGGTATTATACTTGGTCTTCCATTTCTCAAAATCTTTCTTGTACTCACGGTCACTCTGGATCTTGGCCACATGCATAGACCACACCATCTTGGGATCATCCTGGATGTTGCGGGCTCCCACAT